AGTTTTGAAACACGAGGGTGACAATTTTCTCTAGATATCGAAGAATTCCGCCACATTTCTAGACAGTTTTTCCACGTCTATTTCAGGTCTTCTACACATCTTTTGTTGGGGCCGTTAATTTTGGCTTCGCGATACCCGCATCACGTGGTGTCCAAACAGCCGCATCAGCTGCTGTCAAAATCTTCTCGATAATGGATGAGGTGAGTGTCAGACAACGCTTTACAGTCAGTCAATATGTCAGTAAAGACGGCAATCATTTGATTTTACAGTCGAGAGAAATCAGTATATTCATTACTCATGAGTTATAAAATCTTTAAGTAGGTAGTTTATTAATATTCTGATTTCACACACGTAAGATGCTATTAAAAAAATAAGGATTTATGTTTAATTACAAAAGTAAACTGATTAACATTTGTTAAGATACAGTATAAAATAGTTAATGGTAATGCCAAATTATGCTATTTGTTCAATAAATTGTTTAGAAACCAACAATTGACAGTAATTCCGATAAAGGGACACAACCCAGTAGTTTTGAAGGAACAATTCAGTTTATCGACATTGATTTTTCTTATCCTTCAAGATCAGATGTAAAGGTAAGGAAAAATGATTGGACTTGCTGTTTAGCTTTTTGAAAAATCTTATTTAAATTTTACATAAAATAAAGACTTTTACATCAATATGAATTTACGCTGTAGAGCCCATTAAAATTTAATTAAATTAATAAGCAAATTCACGAGAATAATTCCATGAAACCGAACCAAAATTGACCAGGTCCTGTCCAGCCTGAACCTGCACATCGCCAAGGGTCAGACGGTCGCAATAGTTGGTGCCAGTGGTAGCGGCAAGTCCACCATTGTCCAGCTGTTGTTGAGGTTTTACACGGCTCTTCGAGGTCAGGTACGGTAGATTTTCAAGTTCGGTAGAACTTTATATACTTACATACACACACACACATACACACACACACACATACACACCACACACATATACATATAATATATATATATATATATATATATATATATATATAATATATATATATATATATATATATATATATATATATATATATATATATATATGGCAGGTGTAAAACGGGGAGATTAGTTAACATCTATTTCAATTTATTTGCACGACAAAAATGCTTCTCTCTATACTCAATATGCGGAAGAGTAAAAAAAAATAAGTTTCTAATATTTTTTCTTGAAATTCGATTTCCAGATATTAATAGACGGCCATGACATTGAGAGCTTAAACCTCCGATGGTTACGTCAGCACATTGGTCTAGTCAGCCAAGAACCGGTACTCTTTGCTACGACAATCGCCGAAAATATCCGGTACGGTCGTAAGGATGCAAGCATGGAAGACATCATTCAAGCAAGCAAAATGGCCAACGCCTATGACTTTATTATGAAGCTACCCAATGTAAGTTAACCATCGCATAGTCTGTATATTGCAATATGCTCTAAATCAATTAACAAATATTTAAAATCTGAAATATCTATTAGCAATTCGAGACGTATGTAGGCGAACATGGCGCCCAACTAAGTGGAGGACAGAAACAGAGAATCGCCATCGCCCGAGCTCTGGTCAAGGACCCAAAAATTCTTTTGCTGGACGAGGCGACCTCAGCACTGGACACTGAGAGTGAGGCTATCGTACAAGATGCTCTAGATAAGGTACTTGTATCCGTCTTAGATGGTTGAAATAAAGTAAGTTAATCCATATGATGATAAGAATCAGGAAAGTTAAAGCGAAGGTAGCTTGATAATAAGAAATTTAGTTTTTACTGGTAAAATGTTGACGTAAAAATGGATTTACTTTGTCAACTTTAACTACGTTCAGGCAAGACAAGGACGGACGACTCTGATCATTGCCCATCGCTTGTCCACCATACAAAACGCAGACATGATAGTCACGATATCCAAAGGTCACGTGGAAGAGATGGGTACTCACGATGAACTTCTCGCCAGGGGCGGAGCCTATTCCGATCTTGTCCATTCACAGGTGGGGTAACATTGTGGTAACATCACCCTCTTAACAATTTTAGGACACATACATTTAGGCAGCATTTGAACCAATATCGGACACAGTTTTGCTAGACACATAACTAATTTAAATCTTGGTTTAACTGTAGGTGATATTGGATTTAATTTTGAATATTCAAGATAGTTTCGTTGATCACTTATTTAAGTAATCCAGAGTCTTTGAAACCGAATAACCCACTCTTTGTTATTCGCGTTTGTTATAAAACTTGAGAATTTTCTTTTGATAAGAATACATTAAATTCAAAAATATTCTAATTTAATTTTATTTCGTTTCCTTTCATGCATTCAGTTATCAAAACGTGAGTAAATCTGCTACTAAATTATAATAAAGTTAGTATATGATGTATGTATCCGATAGTCCAGGGGTCTCCAAACTTTTTAACCCGAGGGCCGCATTAAGTATTAAATATCAGTTCGGGGGCCAGAGTTTCTTCCAGGCATTTCTTCGGGGTGGCAGAGCACCCCCCCCTCGAAGAACGTCTACCACCCCCCACGACGAGTATAATTTATATATATATATATATATATATATATATATATATATATATATATATATATATATATATATATATATATGTATATATGTATATATATATACACACATTTCAAGTTTCCCCTTCCAGGAGAAAATACCGGAGAATAATACCGTATAGGAACATTGGTTGTAGAATATTTTTTCTCATTCGCTTGTCCAACCAAGCCTTTCTTTTTGCCACGCATGTACTTTCCTCCATCAACAGTCAGGTAACTGAGGTTAGTCCAGTCCAAGTTATAATCAGCAAATGTTTTTTTAACTCATTGAATATATCGTCTCCGGCAACAGTGATATACATGTTATGTAGGGAAGACAGCTCTTGTGTTAAGGTTCATGTCTTCATCCGCACCTCTAATGAACATAAGCAGTTAAGAGTTAGAACAGCTGTCTAGCGACTCATCCATTGCAATTTAAAAAATAGCAAAACTTGCTTGCATTTTTCGCTATTTGAATCAGAATGTTTTCACCAATGTCTGCAACACGGTTGGCAATTGTATTAGCACCAAAGCTACATTTTCAAGTTGTTTTGAATTTTCTGGGCATAGTTCCTTAGCCACCTCCAACAAAAAATGTTTTTCCGTGGACAAAAAGATATCCGCGGGCCGGATGAGAGGACTTCGCGGGCCGCATGCGGCCCGCGGGCCGTAGTTTGGAGACCCCTGCTTTAGTCGATTGTACAACAAAATATTCCCAAGAAAAAAGAAGGCTAAACTATCCGTGATAATGTATTCTGACTAACCCCCACAGAGGCGTAGCGACCCTACCCGGCGCCCGGGGACAAACTTTTTGATTTGCACCCCCCCTCGAGATTTCGATTTGCACCCCCCCCCCCCTCAAACTTTCAATTTGCACCCCCCTCAACCTTTCAATTTATTTTTCCAACCCATTTTGGCGCCCCCTAAGCTCGGCGCCCGGGGACATATGTCCCCCCCCCCGCCCCCCCCCTCGCTACGCTACTGAACCCTCATCCCTTCGCTCTTTAGTTGAACACGCAAGTGACGGAGGTTCCAGCAATTTTTTTTATTTTATACTCACATTACCTAAATAAAAAGGAAATAAAATGATGTTACAATGTTTCTGATCAAACCTTACCACTTTTAGTTGAACACGCAAGTGACGGAGGTTCCAGCGCTTATGACGAAGAAACGATAAAACAACGAAGTGGTTCAATGCCGCACAACTTGGAAAGATCGGTGTCTCATCCGCACGAGGAAGTACGTTGTCTCGAAACACTAATTAAACTTATTTGCTAGAAGAATAGCTGTATTTTTTTAGTTTTAGTATAATTAAGTTAAATACCTTCATTTTAAGTTTAATTAGTTTATGCTTACCGATCAATTGTTTTAAATTCATTTCTGATAATAATACAATGATTTTCGACCAAAAAATCGGCCATAACATTATTTTGCCTTGTCTGATTAGTTTTGCTAAGTTTAAAATAAATTTTAATCTGAAATGCTTATATTTTTATTCTTTATCTACGAAATCAATTTGTAAGTTTTGTTATGCTTACATTGTAAAATACTAAAATTTTTGTCCTTTTCAACAACATACTACCATAATATATCTTAATTTTACACGTTATATAATATTGTATCAAACTAGGCCCATATTCAATGTAAAGTTCCAAATATAATTACAGATTGACACACACACAATAACAAACACACCCGCGCACACAAAACACATCTGCAAACACAAAAAGATACAAACACACCTATACTAACACAAGTCTAGTAATACATCTATATACGTATGTATACATCTATGTTTTAGCGAGTAGACAGTACACCTGAGACATCACAATCCCCAAAGAAAAACTCGATGCTCCGTATCCTCAAGATGAGCCTGAAGGACTGGCCGTACTTTTGTGCCGGGTCTACGGGAAGTTTTATCAGTGGCGCCGTCGTACCATCGTTTGGCTTTGTCTTCGGGGATGTCGTCAAGGTATACACGTGATAACTTCGATAAACATTCTCGTGTCAAAGCTAGACACCTCTATGTTTAGCTAATTCATTACAACTTTCATATTACTGTAGGCGAACACAGTACTTAGCAGTTGGTTTTATGTACTACACATTTTTCCCTCACAGTTTTTGTCTTCCAGTGATGAGAGAGTCCAAGAAGAAATGATAAACAAATACAGCTTGATCACTTTTGGCATTGGTTGTGTTTACACGCTGGCTACATTTGTGACGGTACATCAAATGTTATAATTCTATACCTACATCTTGATTAGTGTATAATGCATAATGTATTTTTTCTATTCCAGTACACCATGTTCAGTTTCCTTTTTATTCCTTCCTAATATAAAAAAGTGTATATATATATATATATATATATATATATATATATATATATATATATATATATATATATATATATATATATGTAATATATAAGTATATATAAAACAAGTATAACATTTAGAAAAAAATATGGGTCAATAATTAACGTATAATGGGTACCGATGGCTAGTTACTGCATATTTCCTTTTTCCTATGACAGTACCATATGATTATTTCCTTTTATTTCTTTGCCAACACCCCACGTTTTCTTATATTTTTTCTACGATAGTTCACAATGTTACTTCCCTTTTGTCTATTCCAGTACACCATGTTTGGCATATCTGGTGCATCTCTAACAACCAGACTTCGGGCTCTGCTATTTAGGTCCATAATTAAACAGGTAATAAACACAAAGCTATACAGGTAGTTAAGGGGGTATTCTCAAGAAAAAAACACTTCTTAATTAAGTCGTTTTATTTATTTATTTTTGTGTATATTAAAGTTAGGGTACTTAAAAAAAATATTTGCAAGTATCAAGGATAGTTTTGAAAATATTATTGCTATGGCAATGGCGGCCATCTTGAAAAAAACACCCTTTTGTAGAGACTTAAATTTCATAAACTAACATATAAATTGGCCATATAATCATTAATACTTCATTTACCAACACTAATAGAGTCAACTGGCTAGTTTTTGTAACAGAAAACACTCTAGAAATATATTTATTTTTTTTTTATTTTTTAAAACTTTGGAATGGTAAAAAAATCATTTAAAACAATGAAAATTTAACGGTAGTTCACCATAATTTTTTTTTATAAAATTTGAAACAAATATTTCTAGAGGTTTTTCTGTTAAAAAACTAGCCAGATGACTCTACAAAAGGTTATTTTTTTCAATATGGCCGCCGTTGCCATGGCAACTATATTTTCAGAATAGTTCCTGACGCATGCAAATATTTCCCCTTAGTACCTTAACTTATACATCAACAAATAAATAAAAAAGGCTCATTATTTAAAAAAAAAATTCACCGTTTTTTTTCTGGAGCCTACCCCTTAAGAAACAATTGTCCTTGGCGGCCCATGAAAAGAATTTCTTAATTTTATGTAGGTATTTGTACTTTTTTACGAATATTAAATACTTTGGAGTGTAACTTTAGGATATTCAAATTTCCCCAGAAAATCTCATGGTTCGATGAGCCCAGAAATTCCGTCGGAGTCCTAACGACCAAGTTGGCGTCAGAAGCGACTCATGTGCAAGAGGTACAGCTGGAATTACTGGGTTAAAAAATATTCTTGCTTGATTATAAAGCTGGATTTGAAATGTCACTTCGCTTTTCCATTGCCGTGTTATTTGTTGTATTTTGATAGTACAAGCTCTACACAATTAACCATCTGTTTTATAAGCTTAAAGATATTAAAATCACTCATATCAGGTTTTGACCAACTCCATCGCTATGATGATCCAATGTGCCTCAGCGGTCGTGCTGTCTCTGTGTTTCTCCGCCTTCTACAGCTACCCCATGACCCTCATGTTCCTGGCCATCTATCCTGTCATCATGTTCATGTAAGGTTTGACTATCTCAATTTTACAAGAAGTTTAAATACCATTTATCACAAAATAAACGATTACAAATTAGAAAGGGGTTGATAGACGTATTGTTATATCTAAATGTGATGTGTATAGTCTTGGTAATATCTATCATAAAGCATCTAGGTAACATTTCTAAAATTGATATTTATCCTAAAGCTTCATATAGCTAACATTACTGAGACTTTCATCACACAGAGGTAGAACTCACGTTTGGCTATCCAAGAAGTTCCACACAGAGACCAGCAAAGCTTTAGAGTCGGCCACGGCGGTAGGGATTTAAAATTTACTGACATTTTTAGGTGTAACTTTGACGAAGTGTTTGTTGGATTTTAGGTTAAACTGACGCAAGTAGCGTAATGTGCTCAGCTGATAATTTAATTTTAGAGAATAGATGAAGTTTTAAAATATGTTTAAAGTTGATGGTTTAATATCAGTTGAAAGTTGATAAATTAAAATCAGTTTGAGGGTTAATAATTTGAATTAAATTTGGAGTTGACGATTCGAAATCTGTTAAAATTGATAATTTAAACTAGTTTAAAGATTGTGGTGTAATATTTGTTTAATTTTAGTTATAAATTGGTGGTTAAATATGAACGGCAAATATGATCATAAATATAAGATGAAATTTAATGCATATTTTTTAGAAGGTAAGGGCTACAATAAAATCGTGAGTTGATATTTTGAAATGTAATGATTTGAAATCAGTAGTGATTTGACGGTTTGATATCACCAGAATTATGTTATTTGCAAGGGAGATTAAGGTTTAACATGAATTAAACATGATATTCACATCGTTTTAACACCAGTTAGGCTTTGACTCTCTGTTCGCAGCTGGCATTGCAGAGTATGGTCAACATCCGTGAGGTGGCAGCGCTGACCATGGAAGAAGAGTTCCACAAGAAATACGTCCAAACTTTAGAGAGGTCACCCCATGGCTTGCACAGGTATCTGGTGCTGACCAGCATCTGCTTTGGCATCTACCGTTTCATCCCTTATTTCGTCTACTGCCTTGGGTACGCTCTCGGTGGTTATTTAATAGAGGAAGGGACTTTGGAATTTGCTGATTTCACAAGGTAAATTGAAAAGTTAACATAGGTAACTTGTTTTAAAAAATAAAGTAAATGATACTAATTTACCAACAGGAAATGTTTTTTTTTTAATTATTAATATTTCTTAATTGTTTTAATACTATATTTTTGAAATATTTTAAACCCGTTTTCAATCATAAGATTAGACCACCTAACACACTGAATTCTACGTTTAATAAGGCTTTACCTTGTACGAAATTCCATTGGGGATTCACGTTATCAGGGGCGTAGCGAGGGGGGGGCGGGGGGTGCGGACAGCACCGGGTGACACCATTTAGGGGGGTGACACCAAGGCAAAAAATAGCAAAATATATAGAGAAAAACTCGAGGGGGGGGTGCAAATCGAAAATTTGAAAGTTTGTCCCTGGGAAGGGTCTCTATGCCTCTGGGGGGGTGACACCATTAAGTGCCGCACCGGGTGACACCCGACCTCGCTACGCCACTGCACGTTATATCAAATGTGCAGTCATTTAAGTTGATAACGTCTGATAATTTTTTTTTTAATTTTTCCTTGCGATTAAATTCAAATTATTATACTTTTAGTTGATGTTTGTAGATAGAGATAAGCTGAAATGAATTGATGTCTAATGTAAATTTCATCCAGATCATATTGTGGCCTTTGAAATGGATTTTAAAGCCAGTGTTTGACATGCACTGAACGATTTTTTGTTATACTACGAAACGATGGTGGACACGTATGCTTGGTGAAATTGACGAAAATTGGATTTCAATGCGATTTAAAAAAACGGGATGTTATTGAATTTTTGTCGATGGCAGTGGGGTTTTCCCCCATACAAACACTTAAACCCCCGACCCATTTTATTGCTATAATTGTCTAGATAATATTTCTGCCACAGAGTGTTCGAGTGCCTGTTGGTTGGTAGTTTGATCCTGTCTAGGATAATGATGGATGCCGGGGACCTGTCTGCTGCAGGAGCCGCGTCCAACATTATTTTTGCCCAGGTGGACGAGGCACCATCTGATGAAGAGGCTGCGGGAGGCTCAGTGACTTTAGACAAGGTGGGTGTTGGTTTTACTTTTTCATAAAAGGAGTATAAAGAACATGTTATAATCGTTTTACAAAAAATCAAATCTGATTTTGACGATTTCTCTGTTTTACGTCTCCCTATTTCCTAGTATACGGAGTTTAGCCAACGTATTGTAATCGTGAAAGATTACTAAACCGAGTTTTTTATAAACTTCCACATTTTACACCTTTTTGTAATGGTGACTGTATTTCACTGTGCGTCTTAAACACTATAACTTGAGTGTGTTTTCAGCTCTGTCAAATTTTAAGGGAGATTTCCGGTTTTCGGAAATTGTTTTGACTATTCTTCCGGTTTCTTGAAAACCGATAACTGTTTCAGTTATGAGGATGAAATTTCATACACAGGTGTAAAAACTTATTTATCGGTTTCTGTTTAATTTGTGAGGGATTTTATTTGACAAGTAGTATTCTACGCGAATTTCGTATTTCTCAAAAAACCATTAAGATTTAATAAATGTATATCACACTTTTTAAAGCAGCATATGCTAAGTACTTTTAGCTTCTATTTGTATTCTCGAAAAACTAGCGGTTTAATCGCAAACCTCTATTTCTATAGTCCTTTTGCACTGTCCCGACTCTTGAAGGTGTATAAGAACTTACGAGAAAATTTGCTTTCGACTAGCAGAATCTGAAGGGAGGTATTAGTAGTACAAATGGCGAGAAGTTTATTTTTAGGGCAAAGTGTTGTTCCATTCTTACACATGATGTCCAAATAATGCTAGAAGGAAAAATGTTTACTTTGTTTACTTTTAAATAGTTTCATATGATACAATACGCATAGTATCTAATCACAGTGTTCACTTTCTGTTCAGGAGAAGTTCTCCGGATCAGTAAAATTTTCCGGAGTCCACTTCCGGTACCCCATGCGATCTTCAACGCCTGTTCTTAACGGCCTTGACCTTAAAGTGAAGTCAGGTGAAACCCTGGCTCTGGTTGGGGAGAGTGGGTGTGGCAAGAGCACCACCATCCAACTCCTGGAGAAATTCTACGCCATAGAATCTGGTGCTGTGGTAAGTTCTAAGCCATAGAATCTGGTGCTGTGGTAAGTTCTAAGCCATAGAATCTGGTGCTGTGGTAAGTTCTAAGCCATAGAATCTGGTGCTGTGGTAAGTTCTAAACCATAGAATCTGGTGCTGTGGTAAGTTCTAAACCATAGAATCTGGTGCTGTGGTAAGTTCTAAGCCATAGAATCTGGTGCTGTGGTAAGTTCTAAGCCATAGAATCTGGTGCTGTGGTAAGTTCTACGCCATAGAATCTGGTGCTGTGGTAAGTTCTAAGCCATAGAATCTGGTGCTGTGGTAAGTTCTACGCCATAGAATTAGGTGCTGTGGTAAGTTCTAAGCCATAGAATCTGGTGTTGTGGTAAGTTCTAAGCCATAGAATCTGGTGCTGTGGTAAGTTCTAAGCCATAGAATCTGGTGTTGTGGTAAGTTCTAAGCTATAGAATCTGGTACTTTGGTAAGTTCTAAGCCATAGAATCTGGTGTTGTGGTAAGTTCTAAGCTATAGAATCTGGTACTTTGGTAAGTTCTAAGCCATAGAATCTGGTGCTGTGGTAAGTTCTACGCCATAGAATCTGGTACTGTGGTAAGTTCTACTTCATAGAATCTGGTACTTTGGTAAGTTCTAAGCCATAGATTCTGGTGCTGTGGTAAGTTCTAAGCCATAGAATCTGGTGCTGTGGTAAGTTCTAAGCCATAGAATCTGGTGCTGTGGTAAGTTCTAAGCCATAGAATCTGGTGCTGTGGTAAGTTCTAAGCCATAGAATCTGGTACTGTGGTAAGTTCTATGGTAAAGAATTATTTGGTGATGATGCCTTGACATTAGTAAATATTGAGAGATACTATCTCTTTTTTTGCATACAGTTTTTGGATAACCATAATATTGAAGAACTGAGCACAAAATGGCTGCGTATGCAAATCGGCCTGGTGTCACAAGAACCAGTCCTGTTCGACAGAAGTCTGGCTGAGAACATCGCTTACGGGGACAACACGAGGGAGGTGGGCATGGAGGAGATCATAGAGGCAGCTCGGACAGCTAACATACACACGTTTATACAGTCTCTGCCCTCGGTGAGTTTATACAGTCTCTGCCCTCGGTGAGTTTATACAGTCTCTGCCCTCGGTGAGTTTATACAGTCTCTGCCCTCGGTGAGTTTATACAGTCTCTGCTCTCGGTGAGTTTATACAGTCTCTGCCCTCGGTGAGTTTATACAGTCTCTGCCCTCGGTGAGTTTATACAGTCTCTGCCCTCGGTGAGTTTATACAGTCTCTGCCCTCGGTGAGTTTATACAGTCTCTGCCTTCGGTAAGTTTTTACAGTCTCTGCCCTCGGTGAGTTTATACAGTCTCTGCCCTCGGTGAGTTTATACAGTCTCTGCCCTCGGTGAGTTTATACAGTCTCTGCCCTCGGTAAGTTTGTTTAGTGTCTCTGTGTTAATAAAAGTTATTATCTGTTTAAGATGGCTCACATCTACTTATATAAGGACAGCGTGTAAGAAATCGAATTTATCTTTAAACTTCATGTGTCAGGGCTTCGCTTTAATATAAAGATGGCTGGTATGTAGGAGAAACTTGATTCAAGATGTAATATCTAGGCCAGGGGTCTCCAAACTACGGCCCGCGGGCCGGATGCGGCCCGCGAGGTCCTCTCATCCGGCCCGCGGAGATCTTTTTGTCAACGGAGGTGGCTGAGGAACTTTGCCCAGAAATTTCAAAACAATTACAAAATGTAGGTTTTGGTACAACTACCGTTGCCCACCGTGTTGCAGACATTGGTGAAAACATGTTGACTCAAGTGGCGAAAAATGCAAGCAAGTTTAGCAATTTTTCAATTGTCATGGATGAGTCGCTGGACAGATGTTCCACCTCTCAACTGCTTGTGTTTATTAGAAGTGTGGATGAAGACATGAACATAACACAAGAGCTGGCTTCCCTACATAACATGTAGGATTCAAAGGCAGAAGAACTGAGACTGTTTCAAAACCCATTTGAAGAAAATGTAGCCAGTTGCCCAGATGAACTGCAGCTGGAGGTCATTGAATTGCAAGCAAATGACCTCTTTAGAGACCAGTTCAAAGAAGGACGGGTGGTTTTTTTTTTTTAAATACGTTTTTGACCAAGGAAGACTTTTCTAAAACTTGCATCAAAGTATCAAATTTTGCAACAACATATCATACCTGGTTTAACAAACATTTTCAAAAATGGAATACGCGAAGAACAATTTGAGAACAAATCGGACCTGGAGTTTGTTGTTGGCCCCCGACAGTGTTTCTTTCAGACTTTTTTCTCCGGGGGTGGGGGGTTGACGACGACACTTGAAATTTGTATATATTTCTATATAATTTATATTTTGGGGGAGGGGGGGGGGGCAGACATTTTCGGGGGCTGAGGGGCTCTACAACCCCGAAGAGATGCCTGGAAAAAAACTCTGGCCCCCGGACTGATTTTTGATAGTTAATGCGGCCCTCGGGCTGAAAAGTTTGGAGACCCCTGATCTAGGCCTATAAAAACACAACAAATTATTGTATTTTAATGCTTTATCAACCCTAATGATATAACTTTGTTGATTAATAGACTTAAGCCGTTAGTTGGATCTGTGTTAGATCGATCAGAGAAACTCGATTCTAGATTACACAATAAATAATTATTTTTTTTACTGAACTATTTCAGTCCTTAAATATTTCATAAGAATCTTTGTTTCCTAGCATAGGAATTGGTTATATTAGGGTATAATTTAATTAAAATTAGATGTTGCTTTATAATTACGTAGAGTGCGCTAAATAATTAATCTCTTTCCCATCACCTTCTCCCCCCTCCTCTCTCTCCCTCTTATTTAAACACCACAGGGCTACGAGACGAAAGTTGGCAACAAGGGAACCCAGCTCAGTGGTGGTCAGAAACAGAGAGTGGCCATCGCTAGAGCCCTAATCCGTAACCCAAAGATCTTACTGCTGGACGAGGCGACGTCAGCGCTAGATGCCGAGAGTGAAAAGGTAAATTATGGGAGTTAAAATTTTAGGGTGGTAAAATTTTAGGGAGGTAAACTTTTAGGGTGGTAAACTTTTAGGGTGGTAAACTTTTAGGGAGGTAAATGTTGAGGAAGGCAAAGTTTTAGGGGGGTAATCTATTAGGAAGGTAAGCTTTTAGGAAGGTAACCTTTTAGGGGGGGGGGTAATTTTAGGGAGGTAAATTTTAATTGTTGTCGGGTTTTTGAGAAGTAAATTCAGAGATGTTTCTTGAAGTTGATTTTCTAGAATGGCTAACTTTTAGCCCGGTAAAAGTTTAGAAAGGTTATCTTTTAGAAATGCCACCCTGACTTAGAGGTTAGGTTTCATTATTGCTAAGCTAAACTTCACGTACACTTTTTGATACCATTACCTAAAGATCTCATTTACCCAGAAACACAAATAAAACATAGAGATTTGAAGAATTATGGTAAAAGTAAAGTTGAACATTATTGTCAAAAAATTTGGCGGCAGTTTGCGAGTAATATCAAGTTCCGAATTAATTTGATGTTAAAACACATCAGCTGTTGCCCACTTCATGACAGGTGGTACTTAACAATTTAACTGTAACGCTTTCATTATTCTAATTACCACCCACAGGTTGTGTTAGAGGCTCTGGATAAAGCCAGACAGGGTCGCACGTGCATCACAATCGCGCACAGGCTGAGCACGATAAAAAACGTCGACATGATAGCTGTGCTGAAGAGAGGTGTGGTGGCAGAAACAGGGACACACCGCCAGCTCAAGTCACAGAGGGGAGAGTACTACAACATGCTGACAGCACAAGCAGGGAACATCACGTCTTAGGGGAGAGTACTACAACATGCTGACAGCACAAGCAGGGAACATCACGTCTTAGGGGAGAGTACTACAACATGCTGACAGCACAAGCAGGGAACATCACGTCTTAGGGGAGAGTACTACAACATGCTGACAGCACAGGCAGGGAACATCACGTCCTAGGGGAGAGTACTACAACATGCTGACAGCACAGGCAGGGAACATCACGTCCTAGGGGAGAGTACTACAACATGCTGACAGCACAAGCAGGGAACATCACGTCTTAGGGGAGAGTACTACAACATGCTGACAGCACAGGCAGGGAACATCACGTCCTAGGGGAGAGTACTACAACATGCTGACAGCACAGGCAGGGAACATCACGTCCTAGGGGAGAGTACTACAACATGCTGACAGCCCAGGCAGGGAACATCACGTCCTAGGGGAGAGTACTACAACATGCTGACAGCACAGGCAGGGAACATCACGTCCTAGGGGAGAGTACTACAACATGCTGACAGCCCAGGCAGGGAACATCACGTCCTAGGGGAGAGTACTACAACATGCTGACAGCACAGGCAGGGAACATCCCGTCATAGGATAATTTGTTTTGTCACTAGGGGGATACCACCATTTGTTCCTGTGTTATACATACATCACCCTAATCAGCAGTATGTGTGTATGGGGGGGGGGTGTCCAGATGTCCACCTGTAGAACAGGGGTCAGTTTATTTCTGTGCTGTAGTTCATTAACGATAAACCTGTATTGTTCAAACTGCATATCTAACAACTTACATTAAAATATGAATGAGAAAAATTGCGTTTACTCGGTTAAAAATGTTAAAAAAATTTTTTTTATTACAACAATAAAATGAATATTTTGTTTTCTGTTTTGACTCGTGTCACATCACAAGGACTGTAAATTTGAAAGGACACTACTGGTGTCACAATGATTGGAAATATGAAGAGACTTTACTCGTATCACAACGACTAAAAGTTCGAAGGGACACTACTCGTGTTACAATGTCTTGGCTGTAGCGGCAGCTTGCTGATCCACTGTTGTGTTTGCTTGTACGCTGGTATTTTTTGCATATCCAGGTGGGTGAGTAAATTCGGGGTCAGGGGTCGGTATCTCGTGACCCCTAGACCCTCGGGGTAGAAAGAATTTCCGCGGATAAATAAAAAGTGATCCATCGCTGTTGGATTGTCTCGATGTTTTGAGTTTGTTGTGGATAGAACGTCGAATGATGAAAGTTCGGATAGAACCGCCAGTTGATTTGTTTGGGCGTTACCTCGATGTTCTGCGTTGAGTTCAAGGACAAGTTTGTTGCAGTTTTCTATGAACTCTTTTGTCTTGGTGCCGTTGAGTTCGCGATGGTCAAAGCTCAAGCGCCACTTGTGTCTGTCGTCTGCGTTAAGACTGGCGCGCAGTCGCTGTTGGAAGTTGCTGGCGTGAAGGGTGTACGCAGGCTTCGTGACCTCTGACCTGCGAACTAAATCCTGATTGGTTGGGTTTAAGCATCCGACTAATTGTTTTCTTGCTAGGGTTTTCCTTGCCAGTTTGGCGTCTGTGATCTCAGGTGGTACCATGATGAAGTTTGAGCTTTTAGAAGTTCCTGAGGGTTGTCCGATGCTCAAACGCCTGGAAGACGAGACCATCGGATGTCCACTACTACTGGTCAACGTAGGACCAGTGCAGTTCGCGTCTGTTTTATGTAGAGACTTGGGACCTGATATTGACGGCAGAAAGTGATTGCTTGGCCCACTTGAAGACAAGTAGCTCACGTTCTTTAAGCTCTGATGTGTATTATGTATTGATGGCATTTCATGGCTGAATGAAATTGGGTCCCTGATAGTAAATTCAGTATCAGCTCGACAATATAGCAGCTACAAGTTCAACACAAAGTTTGCTCTGAAATTAAACAAAAAAGTTCTTGAAAAATCAATGAACGAATCTTTACTTTAAAAAAAAGATTACAATATAATATAGCTTATAATAGAACCCACAATGACGGTAATACAATAGAAAAATATCCCCTTTAATAAAAGAAATCCCCACCAAATCCTTGACAGGAAAGGTAAATCAATAAGGAGATAAGAGCGGATCGAACTTCACCTACGTACAAGAGCAATTATCGAGCCGAACCTTGGGTGATATATACCTAAAACGGAAACTGTTCTGTGACTTTAAAAATCCAGTAATACACTAGGTTTGCTTATGTACCAGCAACACAACAGGTTGATATACTTTATCTCAAGACATTAAACGTCAAACGAAGACAATTGAAAAATTTAAATTATAATGCCAAAAATATTCCAAGATAATGGAAATGAAAATCAATAATGGTTCAAAGTCAAGATAAAAACATAGAGCTTTTAACTGTGTAGTTAATTCTTATAAGTTGAAACTAATAGGACAAAAACGAAGAAATTAAAAAATTAAAACTTTCAAGAAGTAATACATTCATTACATACAATGCTGAAAGTAAAAACATAACACTGATTAAATTAAAAGAAAGGAAAAATAATGTCTCTAAATAAATGTAACGGTATAATAATCAAGGCAAAAAAAAATTCCAGCACTGAAATATTAACATTAGGTTAACACAATCAATATGAAACCAACACTTAACAACATGAAACAAACAACGTGAAGTCAAATCAGGAAAATAAAAAAAATTTCGCCAAACGGCAGAACACGAAAAAAACAAACATTTTAAATAAACAGAAAAGTTAATGGCTAAAAACATCAAACAACACGTTGAAAGTGACAACGTCACACTTAAATTACAAAACTAACTATATGAAACTTACATCATGAAACAAAAACAATGCAACTTACAACTAGAAACAAAAATAAAATAAAACTGAGGCTTTAAACTAGCAACATGTAATCATAACATAAAACAATATACAACTAACATAATAATTTAAGTAAACAAATAAAGCTAGCAATAAAACGCGACGACAGAAAAAGCCATTAGTGCTAAACTTAACTACAAGCTATAGAAGCTAGTAAGAAACTTAACGACAGAGAAATGTAATCTTATTTTATTTAATGTTACTATCAAAAGCCACACACTACACTGTTTAGTAAAACATTTCTTTGATACGACTTACAAATCTTAGAATTTAGAACAAATATTTGGATAAACACCAGATATCATGAAAAACTGTCAGCTTACAACACATTCAAACACACAAGACTTCTCTGTGTAAGACCTAAACAACACTGACATACGACAAGTGACAAGATAAACGCGCTTGTTAATTAATCGTGTTGACGCAGTGAACGTTATGTCAATACATTATGTTGACGAGTGCAGTGAGACACCGTATATCACCTCGCTAGCTAGTCACTGGCTGGAATAAACGAAATGACGCCTGTAGCTTATAAGGGGAGCTAGAACTAAGAGGACGTAATAAATACTGTACGTTGCATAAGATCGAGATCAAGGAAGACGAAATGACGACTATACGTTACTACAGAAGACGAAATGACGACTGTAGCTTATCAGGGGAGCCAGAACAAAGAGAACGAAATAACCACTGTACATTGACTAAGGAATTACGACTGTACCTTAACACATAATAAGAAATGACGATGTACCTCCCCACAGGAGACGAAATGACAACTGTGCCTCTACACAGAAGACGAAACTATCACTTTCCGTATCTCAATACCAAAATAACAGAAGACTAAATGACAACTGTACCTAACCACTGTAGACGAGCTAACGACTGTACCTCACCATCTAAGACGAAATTACGACTGTACTCATCACAGAAGAAGAAATAACACATGTACCTAACCAAAGAAGACGAAATAATCACCAAAATATCAAAACAATAACAAAAAACCAGAAAACGAAATGACGACTGTAACTCACCACTGGAGACGAAATGTTGAATGCACCTCAATACGAAAGAAAAAAATAATGATTGTATCTCACCACAGAGGACGACTGTATCTCACCACAGAGGACGAAATGACGACTGTACCTCAACACAGAAGAAGAAATAATGATTGTACTTCAACACAGAATACGAAATGACAACTGTATCTCACCAAAGAAGACGAAATAATTACTTTACGTATCTCAATATCAAAATCACAGAA